TTCTTATTCACCCCCCACCCTTCCCCCCCTCCCTACACAAAGCAGATAATCTCCTATTCCTATCAAATCTTTTATATTCCTTCTTTTTATATTTCTAATCCTACCAATTGATTTTCTATATTTGCATTCTTTATTCCTCTAGAAGAGAAGATAATAAACATTTAGTATATCCTTACTGATACACACTGGTATAATGGAATTGAAATTTTGCCACAAACTCTGATTTTCTAATTCCTATAACTTTGCAACCCGTTTTCAAATAGTCTAAATTTGAAATATCAAAGGTTTACATCATTAGATTGCAAAGATATATTGGTTAGAAAATGCGAGTTTGTGGCAAAAGCTCAATTCCTTTAGCTACGCATCGTCGTGCTTGCATACTGACTGGAACTATTAGAGTAGCACCATTCCCATTCAGTTCCGTACTCTGACAAAAATGTCTTATGTAGCAATGGACCAATCATTTATCTCACAATTTTATCATTTTCATTAATCTTAAATCTTAAATCTAAAATTAATTTAGCATGACTTCTATGACTGAACCAGTGTCAGAGAATCTATTTAAATAATGCCGTCTTATGAAGACCTTACTGTGAATGGATGCCCATTATACTTCCAAACCAAACTATTGATTTTAAATGTAAGTATGAAATGTGCGTAAATGGTCAAGTTGATATCAGAAAATGAAGTAGGAATACAATTTAATTTTGTATTTACGTAGCAAAGTTTGGAATTAACATTTGAATTTATGAATCTTTTTTTTTAAATTTCTTTTTCACCCTTACCAATTTATATAAATTATATGATTGTTAAGAGTTAAGTTTTTATATTTGTAAACATTAAAATAATTCAACAAGAAGAGGCCTCCTGGTTTAAGAAATTGAACTGATACCAAATGATGGCTGGGTTAAATTAGCCGAAACTTTTCCGACGTAATAATGCTTTACAACGGAGTAACATCACGATTTGTACAATTTGTGACCAGTTTATCAAATTGTCATAAGCTATGTATTCGACTTTTAGTAGATCTCAGTAAACATGATTTAAGAACTGTTTTATGTAAAAATCTTTAATCTATTGCACAAGATTGTAATGTACAATCTAGAAATCTAAACAAATTTTGCGTAAAACAAAATATAATATACAATCATATTCCTTTAGACCAAGAATGGAAATTACCCATTCTTCATGAATTACTTAAAGAAGATAATATTGTTCTAAACAATTTTGATGATAATGAGATCGTAACCATGATCAACTTTTTATGTTCCGACTAGAAACTATATTTATATATTATACTTTATTCTTGTTTTTGTCTTATCATATTGTGCCATTTTACCTTTGTGTACGAAATAAATCTATAATAATAATAATAATAATAGCGTAGCTCTAGCGCTATGCAGAGTAACCTGTAAAATACAAATCCGTCTACCGCTTTTTTGGAAAAAAATTGTTCTTTCGCGGGAAAATGCTAATCCTATTCTTCATCTTATTTGCAATTGCATATTGCTGTAGCCTTCTTTCTTTTCTCCAAAGGTTGGGATCCAGGAATGGAGTAAAACCTAGGCACATTTCTCTGCTATTGTAGACTGGAGAGGGATTGTCCTATCAATGGTTGTAAAAGGGAACCTATAACCGCATGTTTGAGGAAGAGGTCTGACCAAATCTAGGTAAATATATGTGAAAAAGGAACCTATAACCGCATGTTTGAGGAAGAGGTCTGACCAAATATATGTGAAAATCTTCTACCAGGAACCGGGATTTGTTGGGGAGGAGTCTTGATATGTGTTTAAACTGGGACAGGACTGAGACCATAGCTTGACATCCTTGGAGAGACCTTCACAGACAAAACTTCTTAGGCACATTTACCAGGATAAGATATGTTGTTAATTGCGTCAAAAACAGTACTTCTCATCTCTAGAACCAGGGGGCGGAGGATACCTGTGGACGTGTCACAGAGAAGATTGGAGCCGGAAGAAGGAACAGAGACCACAGACAAGGTGGATGAATGGCAGAGAAACTCAACCTTGGGGCAGGACTGCTGATACGGCAGGCTTTGGCAAAAACCAGCGGGCTGTGCAGGGTAGGAACAGTATGGCGGACTGAATGCTTTGGATCCGTGGTAAAGAAACCCTTGGAGGAAACTACGTCTGGGTACTCGGACAGAAGATCACGGAACTCCTCAGGGGTAGAGAGAAGGGCTGTGGATGAGCTAGACAAAATGGCAGGGATAGATTCCAGGGTTGAGGAGTGAAGGAGGCAGGGAACCTGCAATATCAACCAGGAGATGATTGTGACGTAAGAAATCTGATCCTATGGCTCGGCATAGAAACGTTTGCCAGAAAAAACTCCTCTCAAAGCATCTAGAACCAAACTGCAAACTCCAGAAGGTGGGCAACTTGATGGAGACTGTTGTGAAGAAGACCTGGCCATCAGGGTGTGAAGGACCCTCATCTGTGGTTGACATCGCTACTTTCACTGAAAAAGAAACAGAATGTCTGGATTGTCGGAAATCCTAAATTGGTATGCGAGTGTGAGAAGAGCAAGGACGTGGTAAAAACCAACTTCAGATGCATCAACGAGAGGGATTATTATTTGCGAAAAAAAAATCATCAAAATGTAGCAATGACTAAAGGACCAACTACACAAAAAAAGTGTTAATTTAAGTATAACTAATAACATGAGTCAGAAAATCTATATAAATATATATATATTTGGTTTGGAATTCAGAGCTTCCGGACTGGAAGACGATATTTACAGATCTCCACAATATAAAAATATCAAAAGTTTACACCATCAGGTTGCAAAAATATATGGATTAGAAAATTTAAGTTTGTGACAAAGACTCAATTCCTTTACAGTGACGCCGAAACTTGAAAGGAATTGGTTTTTACCACAAACTCAAATTTTAAAGTACCTGCAATCTGATGGTGTAAACCTTTCATCTATATATACTTTGCTTGTCTGTTTGTCTGTTTGTATCCAATAAAGTCAAAACGGCTGAACCGATCGGGCCCAAATTTTGTGTGGGACTTCACATGGNCAAAATTACACTAAATTATCTAGCATGATCAAGAGAAGATGCTCACAGATAAATCCACAGTTAAAAGAAGAAATAGAAGATGGGCGCAAAGCGCCCTAAAAGCCTAGTATTTCAAATTTTGATTATTTGATCTAACGGAATTCATAGCTTGAAATATATGTTTATATATGAAATATATATTTTTTAAATTGTAGTCTAAGAATTGATTTGATCGAATTGGAATTGATCATAAACTTTTTAGTAAATTTCGTCCCTCTTCAAATGATTTAGTTGTTTATGGTTCATGGATGCACAAAATTGTAAGAAGAAGAAAACAAAAAGTATAACCAGGAACATTCTTATTTTATCCCCAGCTAGTGATTATCAAAGCTTTTAACCAGTTAGAATATCTGGGGTTGAGAGATATCAAACTCTCTAGGGAACAGGATACAAGGGTGGGCGGATACTGATAGTAGAGAATACTGTTAAATATGTTTAGGCATGAAAATATAAAGGATATATTTCTAACCACTTATCCTCCTCCTTNTACTCCTGAATAGTTTGGTATTTTACTCCTGAATAGTTTGGTATTTTACTCCTGAATAGTTTGGTATTTTACTCCTGAATAGTTTGGTATTTTACTCCTGAATAGTTTGGTATTTTACTCCTGAATAGTTTGGTATTTTACTCCTGAATAGTTTGGTATTTTACTCCTGAATAGTTTGGTATTTTACTCCTGAATAGTTTGGTATTTTACTCCTGAATAGTTTGGTATTTTACTCCTGAATAGTTTGGTATTTTACTCCTGAATAGTTTGGTATTTTACTCCTGAATAGTTTGGTATTTTACTCCTGAATAGTTTGGTATTTTACTCCTGAATAGTTTGGTATTTTACTCCTGAATAGTTTGGTATTTTACTCCTGAATAGTTTGGTATTTTACTCCTGAATAGTTTGGTATTTTACTCCTGAGTAGTTTGGAAAAATCTGAAATTTTTTTCTTATTATTTATTCAAAAGGGTACACCGTACATTCACGTTTTAAGCCAAGGTTATAATGCAAGGAACGTTAATTGCAGTTGCGTATACTCTGCGTACATATCGAAACCAGTTCTCTCTGGACGGAATTTGTTAACAAGAATAGATGCATCAGTGTTCGTTTTAGTATCCGAGGAGGTTAAGAGCATTAAATTTTGATAATCCCATGTCAGGCTTTCAAATCCGTTTTGTGTTTACATTAACGCCCAGAGACAGTACACTGCAGTACAAAAGATGCGTACACCTCTGAAATAACTTTCCTTGCATTATAACCTTGATATAAGCTATCTTAAGTTTTCTGTATAGAAATGTCCTTTCTCCACATTTGCAAAGACAACGGTGTAAAACGTACCTTAAGAATCAACATTTGGATACATGGGTAACTTTGATATATCCAAATATATATTAATATTTTTATTTTTTTGCTTGGATATTTTTACACTTGGATTTCTAATTATAAAATACAAAAATTGAAAAATTTAATTAATTGCTTTTAAAAGAAGAATTCATAATCTCCAGATTAATTAACAGATCGGGATTAAGGATATCCCATTCTAAAGTTTTCAGCTCTGTACAGTTTACTAACATTTCTCTATTAATAAGTCTCTTTAAACATCAATAACAACGCAATCTTTACATTTCATCGAAATAATAATGAATGCCATGTTTGTATAATAAATATGAAAAAATAATACACTAATACAACATTTTACCCGGCCATAACATATTTTCTCATTATTTATTAAATAAAGAAGTTTTAAGAAGTTACAAATCAGCGATAAGGTAAAATTAAAGATGGCCGGTATGGCATCAAATTCTCTCTTAAAGTGTTAGGGCAAATATATAATTTGATCTACAATCTTGAAAGATTTTTAGTTAAATAATGGCATAAGCTTTATGACTTTAGTTTAGAGAAAGCAAGAGAGCTCTCTAAACTGTACACAGTACACTGTCTTACAATTTCAATTAAAATATTTAAAAAACTTTTAATTTCTCCGCAAACCTTTTCTTATCTCTTGAGTCCTGAGTGCTGAGCCTAAGTAGTAGTATATAGCGAAATGTCGGAGATAGCGTATGGAACAGCTGTGATAGGAGCAGGTTAGAAATATATAATTCTTATTTTTCTTCTCCGTAAGCAAAAACTGAAAATCGAATTAATGTTGCTTTGTCACGTAAAAAAAATCAAAAAACAAGCTTTATTGAAAAAGAATGTCGAAAAAACACTTTTTATTATTTTCTCACTTTCATAAAAAATGACACTTTTCTCTTTCATATATTTTTTAAACCATACTCTCTAAAGTTTTAAGATGTACTAGATTTTACATGTATATTAATAGCATTCTTTTTTCCTTTTGAGAAAATTAAACTACATTAAGTTTATGCTTTTGTTATTGTCCTAGTTTGACATAAAGAATGTCACTTGGACGAGAAATGACATGAAAATACCGTATTAATGGGGGGATTAAAAGATAAAAAAATTTAACTACAGGTTGAGTAAAAAGTAAAAAAGTTTTTGTTTTCTTGTGGTTTAAGGTATAAAAACATTAAAATGTGACGAAAAATCAAATATAGTTTTGGAACATTAAAGAAAAATCCAAGAAACCTTTTCCTTTAGAAAAAATTAAATATCTGTAAAAAGGAATTGAGTCTTTGCCACAAACACAGATTTACTAGTCCCAATATCTTTAAAATTTGATGGTGTAAACCTGTGATATTTCAAACTTAATTTATATTATCTAGCATAATTCATAGTTTGAAATATTTAAGTTCTGCGACATTGGGTTGAAAAGATATAACGATTAGAAAATCAGAGTTTGTTGCAAAGACTCAATTCCTTTATGAGAAATTATTTTTCCAAAATTTCATAAAAATTCATCAATTATTGAATGAAATATGATTACAGATTTAAAATCGGCAAACAAAATATTTCACGAATTTAGAATAATCATTTTCCATCAATTAAAAAAATTGGTTTCGCGGATTTTTTTAGAAGGTCCAAAAATAATTTTTGAATCTTTTGCCACATCTTAATTTTGTGCAAAACATCGCTAGTTCCGTTNAAACATCACTAGTTCCGTTTTTTTTTATTAACTCTGTTTGCATTTTTTATTTAGTAGAAATCCTTAATTTATTAAGATGTCATTCTGCAAAATGTTGTTTCTAGAGTATAAATGTAAATATTATTTCCAAACGGGTTCTGCCTAGGGATGATCGGGTCAGCAGCAGCTCGTTATTTACCCGTAGGTCAATCTGACCGACCTAATATACTCATAGGACCCATAGAATCCCAGGTATACAATATACACTACAATAGGGTTTAATTCCTTTAGCCTCCGCACCAACCCAAAACGGTTAATTTAGAAGAAAACTCGAAATCATCTTCCCCACCCAACCAAAGGAAAATAGTGGGACACCATACAGAAATTTATACAAATCCCATGATATAAGGAGGTTTATTTATGTTAACTTACAGGTACAACTTTTATATCTCGTTGCTCTTCCAGTTTGCATTTTGCATCCAAATAAAACAAAACAAAAATGAAATCACCTTGATTCATAGGGTTTCCAGCGAATGAAAACTTTCGCGAAAAAATGCCTAAAAATTTTGTTCGTATTCGTATAATTGTGCATAAAACTTGTGGAATTCTCTGCTTATATTTATTATATCATAATTAATAATTTCTCTTTCATATTTTTTTCACAAAATTTTCGCATTTTCCCCAAAAAATTTACACATTTCTTTTTTTCCGATAATTTTCGCATTTTTAGCGACCGAACGAAATACGAAAAATGCGAAATTTACGGTGAAATTTCTATTTTCTTGAAACGATTTACCCTTATCGCTGAAAACCCTACTTGAGTTAAATGTTTTTATTTCTAGAGTAGTGAAACGGGAGTATACGGAGCCTGGTTTGATGAAGGACGGATTACAAGAGTATTTGATATTTCACAGACATGGAGAAATCTAGCTAAATTTTCCATAGGCAGCAGACAAAACTATACAGTCTATTAATTTTTTTTTTTTCATTATTTCCTTAAAAATATTATGATGTATATATTGGATTACACACAAAGAATGAGGCGACCTGAATCTATTTAAATATGAGGATTCCAAGGTTAAAAAAAGCCTACTGCCTTCAATAAAGTCTTTTAATAGAAATTAAATAATAGTTGCAGGGAATAATGAATTTAATAAAATAGTCGTCTTTGAAATCTCATCCTTAGTGGGTAACCATGTATAATACAGGTTTACCCAATAATATTAATTTTACAATAAAGCACAATTTTACAATTCCTTACACCCGACTTTAAGACCCAATCTTCGACCAAACTCTGACGACAGCGTGTGTCATGTGATTGACAACTGAAAGATCTTCGGCTCAATGAAAATAAAAAACAAAGAATGAGACGACCTGAATCTCTTTAAATATGAGGATTCCAAGGTTAAAAAAAAAGCCTACTGCCTTCAATAAAGTATTTTAATAGAAATTAAATAATAGTTGCAGGGAATAATGAATTTAATAAAACAGACGGTATAAATTCCGTAAAGTCGTCTTTGAAATCTCATCCTTAGTGGGTAACCATGTATAATACAGGTTTACCCAATAATATTAATTTTACAATAAAGCACTTGTTTTATTTTTAGTTTTAAGAAGTATTTGCCCAATTATCATTGACTTGTGCGTAAGAGCTTTCAATCATTGGATCATTGTGAATTCCAACTTTCCAGAGCCCGCGATTTAAAAACTTCGGCTCAAGCCGTAATTCCTTAAACCCGACTTTAAGACCCAATCTTCGACCAAACTCTGACGACAGCGTGTGTCATGTGATTGACAACTGAAAGATCTTCGGCTCAATGAAAATAAAACCGATCTTGGTTGGCTTTAGTGGAGAATAAGGATCAATGTTGAGTCTTGTTCTCATAAAAACTGGGAATGCGCCAATTCCTACCATGAAAATTCGACAAATAGAATATTAAACCGGTTTTTTGAACTCAACTCTGTGGAAAATAAGATGCAGCTTGAATCCGAAAGCTCAAGCCGTAAAGGCCCAACGACAGCTTAGACCCAAGCCATATTTTTCAGAATTTTTTAAATCGCGGGCTCAAATAAAACTGTTTAAGATCTTTTTATAGTTCTAGTTTTGTCTCCTGTTTAGAAAGGTATAGGGAGATAGAACGTGAATCAGGAAGGGGGAGGATAAATAAACTTTTTATGATTAGGTTTTATGAAAGGCTGAGGATTTAGTATTTTGAAATATTTTTATTAATTCTCCGACCAGGGATTTCATTCTTCTCAGAGGTTGGATATCTCACTGTTGTCAGGCAAACCTTTGTGAAAATAATTTATAATAAATATAAACAAAAAATTGTTTTTAAAAAATTTCCAGGAAACCAATAATTTCTTGTATTTGTGTAAAACTTCTCTTGTCAAACTTTAATTGTGTTAATGATGCTAATAGTACACTAGGAGGAAAACTGTTTTAATACTATTTTTATTTTAATTACAGAAAGACATAAGCAAGCACACACAGATCGGAACTTTTGTGTGAACATTGTTAATCTTAAACACGCTTAATATCGATATCCTATGGGGCACTTTTAAAGAAATTGAGTTTTTGTCACAAACTCTGATTTTCTAATCCCAATATCTTTGCAACCCGATGTTGATAGACCTTAGATATTTCAAACCATTAATTCTGTTAGATTAAATAATATAATTTTCTAATATCATAGGTTTACACTATCAGATTGCAAAGATATAGAGGAATTAAATCAATCTGTAGATTTTCATTATATGGATATTAACGCTTGATTCTGATGTACACAATGCAAAGGTTCTGACTTTGTATAAAATAAATGAATAAAACAGGGAATAGTTTAATCATAGATTGATAACAATACAGATAGAACCCTAAATGTCGTCTTTACAAGAATTAGGGATTTTCGTTCACAATAACCCAATGGCAGAAGCCCAAAGGAGTAACGCGCATGCTCTCTCTCTGTCTTGTAATTTAACACGTTATGCAAGTAACTCCTTTGGGCTACTACCTCAGGGTTGTTGTTAACGAAAAACATCTAAATCTTGAAAAGACGACATCTAGTGTTCTATCTGTATTTTTAGCAATCTATGACTTTTATACAATAAAATCGTTGACAAGGAAAAGTTTACAGATTCCCCGGGGAAACTGCTCTGTTTCATTTTAAATTGTAAAAGAAAGCCAAAAGCTGGCGAGAGAACGCATTAGCTTGATTTAAAGATCGAATATTAAAAAATTGCCTTAAAAGTTTTAAAAATCAATTATTTAATTAGATATTTTGTGTACTATTATACTATTACAGATTTCCAATATATAAAGTAAAGAAAACAAAAATTGTGTGAAATTACACTAAATTATCTAGCATGATCAAAATTACACTAAATTATCTAGCATGATCAAAATTACACTAAATTATCTTGCATGATCAAAATTACACTAAGTTATCTAGCATGATCAAAATTACACTAAATTATCTAGCATGATCAAAATTACACTAAATTATCTTGCATGATCAAAATTACATTAAATTATCTAGCATGATCAAAATTACAATGAAACCAGGGGGAGAAACTAGCCTCCAAGAGGTCAAACCAGGGGGAGAAACTAGCCTCCAAGAGGTCAAAACAGGCCTCCAAGTTAATTTCAAATCCTTCTGTTATTATTGTTGGTTCAACCAGGTTGTCTTAGATGATCAATGATAAAATTTTACTCCTCCCCTTTCCCTGCTGGGGCCAATTTCTTCACTTGGCATCTTGTTCATTTTTTACCCATTCTGTAACCTAACTGGCTGGACTCTCCAGGGTTGGCCTAGCCTAGTTGGTAAAAATAATTTTTTACCTTTCACAGTTTTAAACCTCCCATAAGGATACCTTTTCTGTTCCTAAACACCTACATTTAAATATCCTTGAATTGTACTATGGTCCAGCAATAAAAAAATGTTTAATCCATAAAGTATTACATTCCTGAGCCGGATGAACTCATATAGAGTTGTTTTCAGTGGAAAGATCGTTTTTCTTCCATTTCTATGAAAAAAGATTACTTGCATAATTCTGTGCGTAAGTAAAAAACAACAAAAATAATTAAAAATAATATTTTTTCTTTTCTTACCTCTAAACCAAAACTATTTCAACTAAACAAAAACTGTAAACAAAGTACAATATAAGTTGACACATAAAAAAAAACACTTTTATCTTTTAACCTGAACGATCACAAAAATAATTTTAAATTTTAATCCAACTTTTGCATAATTCAGTGGAACGCACTGAAATTTTGAATTAAATATCAAATCATTTTATTGCCACAAAACATACAAAGAATGAATAACTTTGATCAGTATTTAAAATCACATGGTTTGAGTACAGAAGAGATTACAATAACATGGAGAAATTTCAGGAAACCGCAGAAATTCTTCGAGAAGGTTTGTGTTCAAACCTTCTTCATAGCATAAACTCTAATATTAATATATACAGTGTGTACAAAAAAATAACGACAGTTAGAGAGTCTGCAGAATTAAAAGTTCTATATTTTGGCTTTCTGTTGATACTTTAGATACTTAGAAAGGCTTTATTCCTAATTTTCTTTTTTGGGACACCCTGTAGTTTAGAATTCTGAGATAATTTTAGTTCCTGGACAGATAATGTTTAGAAGGATATAGATGTGAGTACCTGGAGGAGAAGGATTTATCTGTAAAATTTCCCTATCTCAAGTTCCCTCCTGATGTAGTTGGTTTCTATCAACCTGACAAGTAAGGATGGAAAAAAATAAAACCATTTATAAAATCTTCAAAGGAACTTTCGATTTCAAGTGAGGTTTAAAGAGGGACATACTCGATTCACAACTGTACCCTGCAAACCTTTATCTCAGCAACAGTTGGAAAGTGTTGAATTCTGCAAATATCCGCCTTTGTCTCGCTGCATAAATCCGCAAGTCCCTTTTATTGAAGAACCACAATTGAACGTAATCAATATCAATTTGGACAGATCAATTTTATCATTTTTGTGTATACACTGTATGTATAATCCCTTTTTTATTTACATTTAGATCTGGATATTTGAATCCTCGTTCTCTTATCAGAGCAGAACAGGAACTCGCTTCTGCTCGTGGAGTTGTGAGAAAACAGGAAGATTAAATTTTTACTGGGTTTCTAGATATTCATTTTTTTTCTTGTTCGTCTCTTTCAGATTTTAAAATGTCAGAATACTTGATCAGTTTGGTCTAGAATAGATTTTATATTTTACTAAAAAGTGTGTAGATCAAAAAGAAAAGGCACTAGATTTAAGAAAAGAAAATAGATTAAGATTAGTCCCAATAGAAAAGAGCAAATCACTCTAGATTAAGTTTATATTCAATAAATATCCTTTAAACTGCAGTTAATATAGCTACTGATTGAAAAATTGTAAGACGGTTAAAAATTGGTTTCTAACCTTCTTTGTTGAGACCTTATTGGACAAACTTGAAATGTTAAAATATTTTTTTAGTGCATCAAGATAAATTTCAAGCTTTTATCCATAATCTTTGCCAGATATTCTTGTAAAACTTCTTTTATTTCTAGGATGTAGTGGTGGAACTAAGACGAATAGAGAACAGGTTCCATCTTCTACTCGGCTCAGGAGAAAGATTGGTCTGTAACAAGGTCCTCCTGGCTACCGGAGCATACATCAATATTTCAGATATTCTCCAGGTATTTTCAAACCAGACCAGAGTTTGTTATTCTCCAGGGATTGAGGGTATGGCGGGATATATGACTTAATCTTAATCTATATATGTATAAGGTTGTAATCTCTGTTTGTCTACTTGTTTGTATGTCGATCAATAACTCGGGAACCCCTAAACCGATTTGCCTCAAGTTTTGATTGGGGAACTCGGGTGACCTAGGGGAATGTTCTTAGCTTAGTTTTGAGATTCAAAGTTGAGTGGGTCAACTTTTATTGGGAAACATAGCTAAAATCGTAATTTATGACAAAGCGCGGGTAAACGGCGGGAGTAATCGTGATTACCCAGAGCAATGCTGGGCTCACAAGCTAGTATGGAATAAATGCGTTTTTGCATGGTTTAGAGATCATATGAGTTTGCAGTCTCTATATTCTTGTTAAGCTTTAAATGTTTTAATCATTCTTTCGTAAAACTTGTTCAATTCTCTAATAATTAAACTATTTTTTTCCAGATCACAATAATTTGAAAAATCTCTTAACTCAACCTAGCTCATGTACTGCTCTGAACACAGGATATTGTCCCTGATTTGGACCTGGAGCTGAAACTTGTCGGACAAACTGTCGGATATATTCAAGTATCTGAGGAGGATGTATTAAAGATCAAAACCATGCCGAACATAATCACAAGGTGGGATTTAAAGATCATTAAAAAGTTTTTTAACCGCACTGAGATTTTTCTTTAATTTCAGTGACTTTAAAGTTTTGAATTTTATTTGACAGTCAATCAAATTGAACATATGCATTTGGATAACATTGGATGGAACCTATATCCTCCCTCCTATTCTGTATTTAGTTATGAGTCTGGAGAACTAGATGGAACCTATATCCTCCCTCCAGATCAAAACCATGCCGAACATAATCACAAGGTGGGATTTAAAGATCATTAAAAAGTTTTTTAACCGCACTGAGATTTTTCTTTAATTTCAGTGGCTATATAGTCTTAAATTTTAATTTGACAGTTAATCAAATTGAATATATTCATTTGGATAACATTAGATAGAACCAATATCCTATTTCCTCCTACTCTATTCTGTATTTAGTTAGGAGTCTGGAGAACTAGATGGAACCAATATCCTCCCTCCTATTCTGTATTTAGTTATGAGTCTTGAGAACTAGATGGAACCTATATCCTCCCTCATATTCTGTATTTAGTTATGAGTCTTGAGAACTAGATGGAACCTATATCCTCCCTCCTATTCTGTATTTAGTTATGAGTCTTGAGAACTAGATGGGACCTATATCCCCCCTCCTATTCTGTATTTAGTTATGAGTCTGGAGAACTAGATGGAACCTATATCCTCCCTCCTATTCAGTATCCAGATGGAAACTATTATATAAAAATTGGACATCATGACAAGGAAAATAGAAAATTTTATCTTTTTTCAACCTTCGCATCGATTTCTTAAATGTCCTCGTCCAAAAGAATTGAATGCAATTAAAAAAAAGATTATTATTTCTTATTTTCATGAACAGAGTTCGAATTCTTATAAGCAATTTTTTTTCTTAAGTCTCAGTTAGTTTGCATGAAGATTGTTTTAATTAGCTTTACCTTTGATTATAAATAAAGTAAAAAGAGTAAATTTCAAAGCAAGAAATGAACAAGATTTTTGAAAACAACTTCTAAGTTTGAAAGAGAACTGCTGAGTAAGGAAGACGTTGAAAATTGGTATAGGTAATATAGATTTTAATTTGTTCACAGTGAACAAGTCGTTCTAGTTTCGTATCTTTAGGAAGTACAAAATCATTTATCGATAATCTTAAGATAATTTATCAATTTTTCTATAATTTAAAGATATTAAATATTTTGAGAGATTTTACGGAAACTTTAAAATATACAGCACACATTTGCAATATTTAAAATATACATCACACATTTGCAATATTTAAAATATACAGACACATTTGCAATATTTAAAATATACAGCACACATTTGCAATATTTAAAATATACAGCACACATTTGCAATATTTAAAATATACAGACACATTTGCAATATTTAAAATATACAGCACACATTTGCAATATTTGGAAGAAAAAAACACAACAACAAATGATTAACTCAGCTTTTCATTAACCCAGAGATTAATTTACTAAATTTTGTAATGATCGTAAAAAAGATCTTTTTTATTTAATGTCACCAAGTGACCAGAGAGGACGCGAACCAAGACTAAGTTTCGATTGAGACTAAGATAAGGATTGACGCTTGAGATATGTTGGACAGAATATTTATTTTTTTTTCAACCAAAAACCAGAAAATCAGTACGACAAACCTCTTAAAATTTGGTTTACTTTAGAACATTAGAGATTTAGACTAGAAATTAATAAATACATATCTTCAAATATTTATTTTATACTTTTATCATTTTGGAGGAAAACAAATTTTAAAAAAAAATCTAGATCAGGAAAAGGGGACGCCGAAGCTGTTCTAGAATTCACTAAATTTATCAGAAATCTAATTCCAGGTTAATCTTTATTATTAAAAATACAGATGGACACAGTACAACCAAATTATTTCTTAAAGGGAGTGTTCGCGAAAAATGAAAGGGGGTATAGGCTTAATGCGATAAAAAAGCGCTTTTGATCGCTACTAATCTTACTTCTATCTGTTGCGTCTATAAGGAGAAAATTGATAAAGACGTCTCATACCGAAGAGCGTAGCATTAAGCCTATACCCCCTTTCATTTTTCGCGAACACTCCCTTTAAACAACTTGGTATGCAAATACAAAATGTAAATCATTTAAAAAGCTGTTCAATAAATGTATATTCCTACAATATGGTAGAAAGGATTCGATTATTTTTAAAATGTCTTTATAGTAAATATTTTACGTATGCAGAGAATTTTGAAGTTTACTAGAGTTTATTTTTTTATATCGGAAGCCAAAATTTTAGTTGAATTAAATTTTTTAGAAATTCAAGGGTTTAACGTATCTGGAGGATGCTGTGTTACAAGTTGTACAAAAGATAAAGATGCCCCCTTATTAAGACAGGTATAAAACAGGATGTCCTATAAACATGGGAATTGAGCTATTAATTGGAAATCGTCTATGGTAAGAAACATCGTTTTATAAGCTAAAATAATAATACAGGGTGTCCCAAAAAACATGGGAATTCAGTGACGAATTCGATATCGTCTTTATAAATAATTCTTTGATTTAGTATTTTTATACTTACTGAGAAAGCTGTAATCTGTGATAGTTTCGTCTGCTATGTTCACATTTTGTTTGTTTATGTTTTGACTGCAAACGGTTGTACTTAGTAAAACAAGAAAATTGCAGTATACAAGCAGAGTAAGCAGACATAATAACATTATGGCTTTTGAAATTATGTATTACAATGCAAATTCATAACAAAGACGATATCCAATTCGTCACTGAATTCCCATGTTTTTTGGGACACCCTGTACATCTGCTAAATTATAATCGGGAAAAGGCTGTTTTGTTATTCTGCTAAACGTTGTATGTTATGTATGTGTAAAATTTTTGCAAGAGGGAATCTCAAAATCGTCACTTATTTCCCGTGTTTACTGGGATCAACGAGGTTGGGAGATTGTATTACATCCGCTCAACGTTACATCCGTCCTACGATACTTCGGACCTACCCGTACGTGAGTTTTCAGCAGCTTCAAGCTGCTGCTGGTCCGATCCTCTGTAGGTCTGATAAGCACTTCATTGAAAAAAAGTTAGTGTATACACAATATTTGAAGGTCGGATGTGCAACATCAGCAGGTAGGATGCACAATATTAGTAGATCGGATGCACAACTTTAGCAGGTCGGATGCCTGTCCTAATCGCAGCGCTCGGCCCAGAAAATGTCTTGATTTAAACTAACCCCACCCCACATATTTGCTATAACTTTTTCATTTGATAAATGTGGCCACAGCGCTCAGCCCCCCTAGCCTGTCCTAGCCGCAGCGCTCGGCCCAGAAATCGTCTTAACCTAACCTAACCCCATATAATGGCTATCAATTTGTTCATATACCCTGGAATACAGCAATATGGAAGAACAGTATTATTACTCTAGGTATACCCTGGAATACAGAAATAAGGAAGAACAGTATAGTTACCCTGGTTATACCCTTGAATACCGAAGTAAGGAAGATTACTCTAGGTATACCCTTGAATACTGAAGTAAGGAAGATTACTCTAGGTATACCCTTGAATACCGAAGTAAGGAAGATTACTCTAGGTGTACCCTTGAATACCGAAGTAAGGAAGATTACTCTAGGTATACCCTTGAATACAGAAGTAAGGAAGATTACTCTAGGTATACCCTGGACTAGTTGTAGCTGGAGGTGGATGTGGATTTGCTGCTAAATCTTGTGACGAAATTGGTAGAATTGCTTCAACACTTTTAAATGATATTGATTAATGTAAATATAAAATAAATAATAAAAAGTTCGCAAAATAAATAGATAATCGATTATGCATGGAATGAAAATTTTCTGGTCATTAAAAAATGGCATGTAAGCTTAGTTTTTAGACTCTTTAATCATAACATTGCTAAACAGTTTCATATTTTTATTCGGCATCGTTTTCATTGACTTAAAGTTTTAATGGAGGACGACATTCTAAGTTTTCTTTGGCTGGAGATATCCCAACTTGTCATAAATCGGATGGTCCAACCTTAAACCAAACAATTAGTCAATTTTACTGGAAGGATAAAAATGTCGTCCTTTAAAGATTCAGAACGGAAATTAAATAATACAGATATTAATAAATATTCCTTTACTTGCACATTGTTTGTAAATTCAAGGTCAGTTTTCTTCCTCTGAGATTTATTATTCAACTTTTTTCTATCTTTTCCTTTTTTTACATATTCCTATTCTTTTTAACAACGCCCTTTCCTAAAGTTAAACAATTGTTTTCTACATTGAATTTACAGCAGAAAAGTTAATAATGGAAAAAGAAAAAAAGTATTAAGTATTTATTTTTATTTGTATTAATTCTATGTTGAATTATTAATAAATTTATTTCTATTATTTATTTAAAACTATTGTTTATATTTTTTCCCATTTGCTTTATTTACGTGTTTTTCTGACAAGGTGTAGAACCTACATGCTCAAAAACAATACTTACTTGATACTTTTGTGTTGATCTTCAGTGTTCCATCTAGGAATATGTAGAGGATTTTTTTAGGAACTAATGATCATCTGCTGGAAGAATGGTATATTCTAGGTTTGTGAATTGATCCCAGTGATCATTGTGGATCTAATGTAGTAGTCATACTTGTTTTTGAATACATTAATATTTTTGGCGGATTTAACATCTTGTGGTAGTTTATTCCATGAGTTTACAACTCTATTATGGGTAACTTAGGCTAATAAAACTAATTTTTTTCAAAGTGAACATTTTTTTTACAAATGGAAATTTTAATTTTTCTTTAAATTCCACGGGCAACGCCGGGCACTTTAGCTGTTCAACAAACCCGATTTTATACAGAGGTTTGAACTTTTGGATTATTAATCTCTTCAGAAAACGCGAATCCTTTTGTTTTTGACGGATTGAGGTAAACACTTTAAGACTTTTAAAGTGCTATCAAAAGATTCGGTCTCTGGATACTAATATCCTAAAGATAAATATTGGAATTAAACGTGGGTGATTAGAAATGTCGTCTTATATTTTTTCTAGTCTATTAAAGTTGAAAATAGGATCGAGAGACAAGTGAGATTTAAACCATTCTCAGACAGTTACATATTTTTATAAAGAAATACGAAATTTCCGGAAAATTCAAAATAAAATAATATTTTTTAATGTTTAAGAAAATAAAAGCTGTGTTTGCAATTTGTTTGTTTATGATTTGACTACATACGGTTGCACTTATTAAAACAAGAAAATTACAGCATATAAACATAGTATAACTTGTCCGTCTTTACTGTTTATCTTGCGAAGACATTATAGACACATCTTTACAGCCATTTACCGTTTTCACTGAATTCCCATGTTTATCATGGGACACCCTGTATATGACATTAAAATTCTCAATTTTTTCGCGAAAGCAAAATTTAAAAGTTATTGTTATTGCAGAGAATAATCATGCAAGATCCTGCAGGATCTAGAAAAAATATAAGGGCGATCCCTAGCTTGGTTGTTAATAATTCAACAATTCCCTGGTTGCACTCCAATGTACCAAAAGTCCTTACATGGCGTAACTGATAATTGGCGGAAGCTGAAGTGTCCAAATAAACATGGGAATTCAGTGACGAATTCGATATCGTCTTTTTCAATATTTTTTTGATTTGGTATGGTGATACCCAGTAAGAAAGCTGTAATCTGTAAGAGTTTCGTCTGCTATGTTTACAATTTATTTGTTTATGTTTTGACTCATACAGTTGTACTTAGTAAAACAAGAAAATTACAGTATACAAACAGAGTAAACTTGTCCGTCTACACTGTTCATCTTGCGGAGACACCTATACAGTCTTTTACCCTTATAATAAAATAGATTCTAGCAGACATAACACTATTATGGCCTTTTAAATTAGGTAGTAAAATGCTAACTCATAACAAAGACGATATCCAATTCGTCACTGAATTCCCATGTTTTTAGAGACACCCTGTATTATACATTTTTTCAAAATATTTTTATCGATTTTTTCAGAGAAATCCAAAAAAGCCCTAATCTACCTCTCTAACTTAATCAACTTCATAAAATTAAAGACATCGTTAAAAATCGCACCTCCTTAACCATCAATTGTTGTTGACGATCAACCAACCTTATCGACCTAAACGTTAAAGAACAGCCTATATTTCATAAAAAATCGTTAATTTAAAAACTTAACTTAAGTTTTTTGAACAGAACAACTATGAAAGTAACGACCGTGGAACGAACAATTCAGCTGAAGTCTCTCTTAAATGAACGTGGAACGAACAATTCAGCTGGAGTCCCTCATAAACGACCATGGAACGAACAATTCAGCTGGAGTCTCTCTTAAATGAACGTGGAACGAACAATTCAGCTGGAGTCCTTCATAAACGACCATGGAACGAACAATTCAGCTGGAGTCTCTCTAAAATGAACGTGGAACGAAAAATTCACCTGGAGTCCCTAATAAACGTCCATGGAGCGAACTATTCAGTTGGAGTCTCTCTTAAATGAACGTGGAACGAACAATTCAGCTGGAGTCCCTCATAAACGACCATGGAACGAACAATTCAGCTGGAGTCTCTCTTAAATGAACGTGGAACGAACAATTCAGCTAGAGTCCCTCAAAAACGACCATGGAACGAACAATTCAGCTGGAGTCTCTCTTAAATGAACGTGGAACGAACAATTAAGCTGGAGTCCCTCATAAACGACCATGGAACGAACAATTCAGCTGGAGTCTCTCTTAAATGAACGTGGAACGAAAAATTCAGCTGGAGTCCCTAATAAACGTCCATAGAGCGAACTATTTAGTTGGAGTCTCTCTTAAATGAACGGTGAACGAACAATTCTGCTGGAGTCCCTCATAAACGACCGTGGACCGAACTATTTAGCTGGAGTCTTTCTTAAATGAACTAGGAGTGAACAATTCAGCAGGAATCCCTCATAAACGACCGTGGAGCGAACAATTCAGCTGGAGTTTCTCTTAAATGAACGTGGAGCGAACTATTCAGCTGGAATCCCTCGTAAACGACCGTGGAGCGAACAATTCAGCTGGAGTCTCTCTTAAATGAACGTGGAGCGAACAATTCAGCTGAATTCCTTCATAAACGACCGTGGAGCGAACTATTTAGCTGGAGTCTTTCTTAAATGAACGTGGAAGAAACTATTCCAAAAATCAAGAATATGTCTAGCCCTTTTCAACCTTACATTTTCTATTTTGAAGAAAAAATATATAATTTTAACTTTGTATGAAATCATGTTTTCTAAATGTTAAAGAATGATGTCAGAATTGATTTAATGATTTATAAACTGTAAAGTTTCATGAATCTAATTTTAGATAAATTATAAGCTCACCAAGTTCAACTTCTAACCTGGATACAGTTTTCATTCACGATACAGGAGCCCATGGATACATTCATGATACAGGGATACATTCATAATACAGGGATACATTCATGATACAGGCATTCATTCATGATACAGGAGTCTGGATATATTAAGGACACAGGCGCCTGGATACATTTTGATACAGGATCCTGAAAAAATTCATGATCAGGAGTCTGGATACATTTGATACAGGAGACTGGATACATTTGATACAGGAGGAATATTGGGTACATTTATGATACAGGATCCTAAATACATTCATGATACAGGTAGAACCTGGATACATTCAAGATACAGGACTAGGAGGAACCTGTTTCGCGCCGATCGACGACTTAAATCAGCATTCTGGAATAGTTTCTCTCTGATTGAAAGATACAGAAAGGTAAAAGGAAGTTTATTCATCTTCAGGTCTTTATACACTAAAAATATGATACAATTAGAAAATATATACAAAGTATCACTGAAAATATATAAAAATAATACGACATAAGATTAATTTACATACCAATGACACTCTGGAGCACAAGAACCTACATGTAGCTGTATTTAGAACATACTGAATACTGACTAATTTAATGGAAAGTTCGTGCACATAGTGTAGTACGCTCAATATTTGTAAATAAATCCCGTAACATAACATACAGCAAATAGAGGAAAAAGGGGCGTTCAATTTTCAGAAGAATTAATTCATTAGACCTAACAGTCCATCTAAACCATACAAGATCGCGATACAAACTCGCGAAACAGAACCTGCATTCATTCAAGATATAGGAGGAACCTGGATACATTCAAGATACAAGAGGAACTTTTATACATTCATGATACAGAAGTCGAGACTTGATACATTCATGATACAGAAGGAACATTGATGCATTCATGATACAAAAGTCGAGACTTGATACATTCATCATGATACAGAAGTCGAGACTTGATACATTCATGATACAGAAGGAACATTGATGCATTCATGAAACAGGAGGAACCTTGATACATTCATGATGCGTGTAGAACTTGAATACATTCATGATACAGGAGGAACCTGGATAACTTCATTTTACAGAAGGAACCTTGATACGTTCATGATGCATGTAGAACCTGAAAACATTCATGATACAGATAGAACCTGGATACATTCATGATACAGGAGGAACCTTGATACGTTCATGATGCGTGTAGAAACTGAATACATTCATGATACATTTATTATGATACATTCATGATACAGGTAAAACCTGTATACATGTTCATGATACAGAAAGAACCTGGATACAGGTGGTACTTGTATACATTCATGATACAGAATGAGCCTTGATACATTCATGATACAGAAGGAACATTGAAACATTCATGATACAGGAGAAACCTTGATACATTCATGATGCATGTGGAACATGTAGATACACGATGCAGAAGGAGCATCGATACATGGATGGTACGGGTAGAACCTTGATACATGGATGGTACAGGTAGAACCTTGATACATTCATGATACAGGTAGAACCTGGATACATTCTCGATACAAGTAGAACCTGGATACATTCATGATACAGGAGGAACCTAGATACATTCAGAATACAGAAGGAACACGGATACATTCATGAAACAGAAGGCACCTGGATACGTTCATGATACAGAAGGAACCTGGATACACGATTCAGATTACTGAAGGAATATTGATACATTCATGATACATGAGGAACCTAATACATTCATGATACAGAAGGAACCTGGATACACGATTCAGATAACTGAAAGAATATTGATACATTCATGATACAGGAGGAACCTAGATACATTCATGATACAGAAGGAACCTGGATACACGATTTAGATTACTGAAGGAATATTGATACTTTCATGATACATGAGGAACCTGGATACATACATGATACCGAAGAAACCTTGATACATGATACAGAAGGAACCTGGATAGACTAAAGTAATTTTTGAAACCATTCGGGCACTAAAGATGAGAGATTTATTTATAAACGCAAAATGTTAAAAATACTTGGCTTTACGGGTTTTAGAGCAAATGTCAAGTATTTATTACAATTTTAAAGCGCAGTTTTTTATTTTCATGTTTACTTGGAATATTTTTTGAACCCATAAAACTAAAATTCGTACATATTCTGACCATTGTATAGAGGATTGAAAAATAAGTATCGATTTATTGAACCTTTTGCTTTCAGTTGGAAAGTTTACCGGAGATAAAACCTTGGATTACGGAGGTTTATCACGTTGTTCCGTCATCATTCTTATATTCAACCAGTAGTTTCAACCATACCTAATCCACAACTAGAAATTCATGAAATCTGGAGAAAAAATCAAAACTTTTAGGGAAATCGTTTAATCTACATAATCAAGGTCTTCCCTCATAAATGTATATATATTTATATAGTAGCTATAGCTGGCCGAACGGCTGGACCAAATTGGCTGAAATTTTTTCGGGGAACCCATTAGATACCCTGTGGGTAACTTAGGCTAATAAAACTAATTTTTTTCAAAGTGAACATTTTTTTTACAAATGGAAATTTTAATTTTTCTTTAAATTCCACGGGCAACGCCGGGCACTTTAGCTGTTCAACAAACCCGATTTTATACAGAGGTTTGAACTTTTGGATTATTAATCTCTTCAGAAAACGCGAATCCTTTTGTTTTTGACGGATTGAGGTAAACACTTTAAGACTTTTAAAGTGCTATCAAAAGATTCGGTCTCTGGATACTAATATCCTAAAGATAAATATTGGAATTAAACGTGGGTGATTAGAAATGTCGTCTTATATTTTTTCTAGTCTATTAAAGTTGAAAATAGGATCGAGAGACAAGTGAGATTTAAACCATTCTCAGACAGTTACATATTTTTAGAAGGAAATACGATATTTCCGGAAAATTCAAAATAAAATAATATTTTTTAATGTTTAAGAAAATAAAAGCTGTGTTTACAATTTGTTTGTTTATGATTTGACTACATACGGTTGCACTTATTAAAACAAGAAAATTACAGCATATAAACATAGTATAACTTGTCCGTCTTTACTGTTTATCTTGCGAAGACATTATAGACACATCTTTACAACCATTTACCGTTTTCACTGAATTCCCATGTTTATCATGGGACACCCTGTATATGACATTAAAATTCTCAATTTTTTCGCGAAAGCAAAATTTAAAAGTTATTGTTATTGCAGAGAATAATCATGCAAGATCCTGCAGGATCTAGAAAAAATATAAGGGCGATCCCTAGCTTGGTTGTTAATAATTCAAATAAAAGAGTATCTAACCTTATTTTACAACCTTGGTTGAAATCTACCTTCCTTAAGATATTCTCACATAACTAACCTAGGATAATAATAATGCTTTTTTTTAAACTGAATAAATGATAATAAGCTACACGATTTTTGTTTACAGTTGTACAGGAAACTGGACAAATCAAAGGAAACCAGATCTATACTTTCAGGTGATATCCAACCCATTCCTGCAGGTGATATCCAACACATTCCTGCAGGTGATATCCAACCCATTCCTGCGGATGATATCCAACCCATTCCTGCAGGTGATATCCAACCCATTCCTGCAGGTGATATCCAACCCTTTACTGCAGGTGATATCCAACCCTTTCCTTCAGGTGATATCATCTCACACTTGAATCTCGATAGATGCTTTCCAACCCTTTCCTGCAGGTGATATTCAACCCTTTCCTTCAGGTGATTTTTAACCCTTTCCTGCAGGTTATATCCAACCCTTTCCAGCAGGTGATATGCAATCCTTTCCTTTAGGTGATATCCAGCTCTTTCCTGCAGGTTATATCCAACCCTTTCCTGCATGTGATATCCAACCCTTTCCTGCATGTGATATCCAACCCTTTCCTTCAGGTGATATCCAACCCTATCCTGCAGGTGATAATCAACCCTTTCCTGCAGGTGATATCCAACTCTTTCCTGCAGGCGATATCCGACCCTTTCCTGCAGGTGATATCCAAACCTTTCCTTCAGATGATATCCAACCCTTTCCTTCAGGTGAAATCCAACCCTTTCCTTCAGACGATATCCAACCCTTTCCTTCATGTGATATCCAACCCTTTCCTTCAGGTGATATCCAACCCTTTCCTGCAGGTGATATCCAACCCTTTCTTTCAGGTGATATCCAACCCTTACCTTCAGGTGATATCCAACCCGTTCCTGCAGGTGATATCCAACCCTTTCTTTCAGGTGATATCCAACCCTTACCTTCAGGTGATATCCAACCCTTACCTTCCGGTGATATCCAACCCTAACTTTCAAGTGATATCCAACTCTTATCTTCAGGGGATATCCAACCCTAACCTTGGGTGATATTTAACCCTAACCTTCATGTGATATCCAACCCTAAGCTTCAGGTGATATCCAACCCTAACCTTCAGGTGATATCCAATCCTATCCTTCAGGGGATATCCAACCCTAACCTCAGATGATATCCAACCTTTTCCTGCAGGTGATATCCAACCCTATCCTCCAGGTGATATCCAACCCTAACCTTCAATTGATATCCAACCATATCCTGCGGGTGCTATCCAACTGTTTTATGGAGAATATTAAATATTTTAGTTTAGGACGGTTCAGGAGAATATTAAATATAATAGTTTAAGACGGGTTCAGGAGAATATTAAATATAATAGTTTAAGACGGTTCAGGAGAATATTAAATATAATAGTTTAAGACGGTTCAGGAGAATATTAAATATAATAGTTTAAGACGGGTTCAGGAGAATATTAAGTAGAATAGTTTAGGACGGGTTCGGGAGAATATCAAATATAATAGTTTAAGACGGTTCAGGAGAATATTAAATATAATAGTTTAGGACGGGATCAGGAAAATATTAAATATAATAGTTTAAGACGGTTCAGGAGAATATTAAATATATACAATAGTTTAAGACGGGTTCAGGAGAATATTAAGTAGAATAGTTTAGGACGAGTTCGGGAGAATATCAAATATAATAGTTTAAGACGGGTTCAGGAGAATATTAAATATTTTAGTTTAGGACGGCTCAGGAGAATATTAAATATAATAGTTTAAAACGGGTTCGGGAGAATATCAAATATAATAGTTTAAGACGGGTTCAGGAGAATATTAAATATTTTAGTTTAGGACGGCTCAGGAGAATATTAAATATAATAGTTTAAAACGGGTTCAGGAGAATATTAAGTATAATAGTTTGGGACAGGTTTAGGAGAATATCAAATGTAATAGTTTAGGATGGGTTCAGGAGAATATTAAGTTTAGTAGTTTTGGACGGGTTCAGGAGAATATTAAGTTTAATAGTTTAGGACGGGTTCAGGAGAATGTTTAGTTTAGTATTTTAGGACGGGTTCAGGAGAATATTAAGTTTAGTAGTTTAGGAAGGGTTTAGGAGAATGTTAGGTTTAGTAGTTTAGGACGGGTTCAGGAGAATATTAAGTTTAGTAGTTTTGGACGGGTTCAGGAGAATGTTAGGCTTAGTAGATTAGGACGGAATCAGGAGAATATTAAGTTTAGTAGTTTAGGACGGGTTCAGGAGAATATTAAGTTTAATAGTTTAGGACGGATTCAGAAGAATGTTAGGTTTAGTAGTTTAGGACGGGTTCAGGAGAATACTAAGTTTAGTAGTTTAGGACGGGTTCAGGAGAATATTAATTTTAGTAGTTAAGGACGGGGTCAGGAGAATGTTAGGTTTAGTAGTTTAGGACGGGTTCAGGAGAATATTAAGTTTAATAGTTTTGGACGGGTTTAGGAGAATTTTAGGTTTAGTAGTTTAGGACGGGTTCAGGAGAATATTAAGCTTAGTAGTTTAGGACGGGTTCAGGACAATATTAAGCTTAGTAGTTTAGGACGGGTTCAGGAGAATATTAAGTTTAGTAGTTTAGGACGGGTTTAGGAGAATATCAAGTTTAGTAGTTTAGGACGGGTTCAGGATTATATTAAGCTTAGTAGTTTAGGACAGGTTCAGGAGAATAGTAAATGTGATATTTTAGGATGGTTTAAGAAGAATTGATTTGGTTCTGGCCTGGGAAGAAAAGTCGCCTGGCTCTAAAATTAGATCAGATCAGGTCATTCAGATTTATATTTAGCGCTTTCAATCTAACATCTATCTTCAGATTTATAAAATTTTAAAATGCCAACTATTCAGAAGATTTAAATAGCATAAAGAATATATATTCTAGAGAAAAGAGTTTCATGAGAGCCTGAAGATTGGGGGTCTGGAGTTAGAATATGTTTCTCCAACTCAAGCATTCGATCAGAAAACTGGGTTTATAAAGATCCACGTCCCTGATAAGATCCTTAGTATTAACGCTCAGGAACTCTTGGTTTTAGATCATTAATCAAGATAGAAGAGAGAGAGAGAAGTATAATTAAACTGTGTGCATCTAGAATAAGTGAGATTGGATTGCATAACCCCCTCCTGGCTCTATACTGTACGTTGGATAGTGTGCGATAAATCATATGTAGATTAAATACTATTAACTATATTGGTTAGTTTATGCACTCTTACTTTATACATTATACATATCAGATATATTTTACAATCAGGGGGTTCAGGCTGGAATATTAGAATATTATGATACATTTTCTAAATATTGATTCTAAACAACCCTCGGTTCTAGGTTCTGGGAATTAAAGCTCCAGTCTCCAAATACATCGTAACGTCATACACAGATAATGCCATCTCTAAATCTTCTCTCAGCTTATTTCAGAATCTACTCCCTGGATTTAACTCCAGGATTAGCTCTAGCCTTCTTCCTCCGGAGCAACCAATCTTCCGTCCGTTCTTCCCGGAGCTAAACGACAAGGAAACCATGTTTAACCATAAAATTAAACATATTAGCGTAATTTTGGCATTGAACGAATTATTGGTTGAGAAAAAATAAAAACTATACAAGTAAAGATGTTTATCAACATTGTGTTAAACCGGTTTTATATATATACTTTTTATTATGATGCTAGGTTACCCTTTAAGGTTTTAAATTGTAACCCTGGTTTGAGGGAAAATAACACCTGAAGGTTTGTGTATGCAGGCCTGTAAATCCAGCTCACAAACAGTAAATATATTAGGGAGTATACCCTGGAGCAGGGTTTAAGTATGGTTGAATCAGTTTGTAACCAAGCAAAGATCTTCAGACCTAACTTCATCTCAACGCAGTCTTATAGCTTGGCAGGTGGGTATATTAGTACAAATATAGTATACGGACACGTATACTAGTACACAATACACATATACTAGTACACAATACACATATACTAGTACACAATACACATGTACTAGTACACAATACACATATACTAATACACAATGCACATATACTATTACACAATACACATGTACTAATACACAATACACATATACTAGTACACAATACACATATACTAGTACAAAATACACATATACTAGTACACAATACACATATACTAGTACACAATACACATATACTAGTACACAATACACATATATTAATAATCATATATGAGAACACATAAAAAGTACATATAAGACTAGTACAAAAATACTAGTATACGCACATAATAATTATTATAAAATTAAAAAAAACTTTTAAAACTGCATTAATTTTCGGAGTTTGGCGTAATCAAAAAAATCTATCTTGTTAAGATATTGACCCGAAGTGGAAAATGTGGGGGCAGTAAGAACTTAGGAATTCAGAAACTTCTAGATAATGGAATATATCAAGTAAGAACAGATTGAAAACAAATGTCGTCATTGTTTTTGTTTTGTGACATTTTTACATCAGAAAGTTTTTATATTATACCAGAACTAATTCAAATTCAATATTTCTAGTTCAATCTGTCAAATCGGTAATTCATTACTTAATGTATTTTCTCTGATAACCTTGTCTTTATAATGGATATTTTCTGTTCTTCCAAACACAATGAAGACATTAAGTCTTAAATTCATTTAGATATTTTATTTGCACAAAATGTGCATTTTTTAGGCCTAAACCTGTAATCTTTTAGTGTGCATATCCTCTACATGATGGAGATTATCATGTTGAACCTGATTCGTCTCCAGGTTACCCAGATAAACAGGAATCCTTGGGGAAAAATTATACTGGATATGAAACTTCAAAGATCTGGGACAAGGAGAAACTATCAGAAAATGTAAATAGTTTATCCTCCACAAAATCTTTAAACCATCATAGAAATTTTACATCCAGAAATGAGAGGATTAAATCTGCAGATTTACAGTTTATGTATAATCCTGGACGAGGTTTAAAAAGATCCATCTCAGCTCATCAGCTTGAAGAAACTAGAGCTGAATCTTCCTTTAGTCAACCTGCTAGATCTGAACCTGGAGTTGATAGTTTAGAAATTCTAAACTATGTTGCGGATACCTCCAGCTCCTCAACTCCAAAGAATTTCAGGATCTTAGACTCGGAGAGGGAGATAATAAACATATCAGAAGAGAGGGAAAATCAAAATATTCGTTTCCACCAAGCTGTGAGATACAGTAGGTATAGGGATGGGATACCATGGGATCAAAACAGGTTAAATTTCAAGGTACATACAAGTACAACAGTACACTTTGAAGAGAAAGAAAACTTGGATCTGGGATTAGAATACAAAGCTGAGTCTCCGACCATGAATCTTAATGATCGTCAGGTTCTCTGTCTGGAATGGGCTGGACTAGGACACTGGTTTCGACATCAACCCCTCTGGTTAATCAGGATATATTTCGGCCCCAAGATTGGGATGTATTTTGCTTGGTTGGAGTTCTATACTCAAGCTCTGGTAGCGCCTGCTGTTCTAGGTACTCGGAGACTTTTTATTTTAAATATTGGGTTTTCGTAGATGTTGTAGTTCAAGCAAGCTAAAAATAGATAAATTTTATTAATGCACATTTTTTTATTACATATGGTTGCTGCTATAGATAAATTTTAAGTAACTTTTTAGTTAAAGGATTTATAATACAAATAAAAACATTCTGATCTGATGAGAAGTTTCTCTTTGATTAAAAATTATAAAGGCTAATTTACGTTATCAAAAATATTTGTTTGTTTTGATTTTAAACAATTTTCTTGTTAATCAGGAGTTCTTTGTTTGATCTACTCCTTGTGCACATTCCACACTCCGTTGAACAGTGTGAGTGAGGATATCTGTTCTGAAGGTGGAGCAGGAAACCTGACAATGTGTCCAGTTTGTGACAAGTTCTGTGAATACTGGAAACTCAAGGATTCATGCATTCTCTCTCAGCTCACTTACTTCTTCGACAACGAGGCGACCATATTCTTCGCCGTGTTCATGTCCTTCTGGGCCACCATGTTCCTGGAGTTATGGAAGAGGAAACAGGCGATACTGCAGTGGGAGTGGGATACTACAAAGGATGATACCGTGGAGGATTCAGAATACTTGTCCTTTAACATTAGCCAGGTATGGAATTGTTAAAAGTGTTTAATACATCATATTGGATCATTAGCGGCTCAAAGTTACAATCTTCGTGACAAAATAGAAAATTTAAGAAAAATCTTAAAAGGCCAAGATAAAACTATGTTTTTTGAGTTTTATCTGCGTATTTTGGTGTTAAAGCTTTGAGATAATCCAACATGATATGGGACGCTCTGTATAAAAATATAAAAAAAAACTCAACCTAAGAGTGTTAAGAGCTAACCAAGAGTGTAAAGTCTGCTAGAACTTCATATGTACTGCATAAAATTATAACGAATTCTCATCTCTGATTTATCCTTATTATTATTATATCAATGACTGAGTCATATTTCTAATGATTAATTATTTCACTTGAATATAGTTCTCAATCTTAGTTTAGTATTAAGAATTTTCAGACCTCATTTCAAACAGCATAATAAGTGTTGCATTCTAATTATGATTAATTATTTTTAATTAGTTTGTTATTTTGAGAGTTCCTTTAATATTTAATATTTGTTAAGGTTAAGAATAATAGAGTAAATCCTATCACAGGGAGACAAGAACACTATCTTCCAACCTCAGAGAAGTTTCTCCGGTTCTCCGTAACCATCTCCACCGTGATATTCCTTCTCCTTGTCATGCTCTTTGCTCTCTTCTCCATCATGATATTCAGGGTTGTAATCCTAGGAGTAATGTATCAGAACACACATAAATCCAACCTGGAGAAGTATGCTAAACTCATCGGAGCAGGAACTGCCGCAGCCTTGAACTTCCTTGTTATTTCTATCTTTGAGATCCTGTATCCCAGGTAGATATTGGGATCCTGTACCCCAGGTAGATATTGGGATCCTGTATCCCAGGTAGATATTGGGATCCTGTATCCCAGGTAGATATTGGGATCCTGTATTCCAGCTAGATATTGGGATCTTGTATCCCAGGTAGATATCGGGATCCTGTATCCCTGGTAGATTTTAGGATTCTGTATCTTAGGTAGATATCGGGATCCTGTACTCCAGGTAGATATCGGGATCCTGTATCCCAGGTAGATTTTAGGATTCTGTATCTTAGGTAGATATCGGGATCCTGTACTCCAGGTAGATATTGGGATCCTGTATCCTATGTAAATATTGGGATCCTGTATTCCAGATAAATATTGGAATCCTGTATCCCAGGTAGATATTGGGATCCTGCATCCCAGATAGATATTAAGGTTCTGAATCTCAGGTAGATATTGGGATCCTATGTCCCCGGTAGATATTGGGATCCTATGTCCCCGGTAGATATTGGGATCTGTATCCTAGGTAGATATTGAGATCCTGTATCCTAGGTAGATATTGGGATCCTGTATCCCAGGTAGTTATTGGGATCCTGTATCCCAGGTAGATATTGGGATCCTGTATCCTAGGTAGATATTGGGATCCTGTATTCCAGGTAGATAATGGGATCCTGTATCCTAGGTAGTATTGGGATCCTGTACCCAAGGTAGATATCGGGATCGCAATCCTCAGTTTCCCTTTCCCATTTTATCAGAGTTTTTTTTTAGGATTTCAAGGTTTTTGACCAACCTGGAGCAACCTAGGACGGAATCCGAATATGAAAGAAGTTATGGATTTAAATTGTTTGTATTTCAGTTTATAAATTACTACTCTAGTCTCACATATACAGCGTTCTTCAAAGGACGATTTTTCACCTATCCTGGAGATCAATCTGCCAGAGAGTCCAGTCTCTCTCTCCTGAAAACTGATATCTGTGATCCATCAGGGATGATTTCGAACTCAAAACTATTCCTGATTTTACTAAAAATATAGAACTATGCATGACTATACTTATAATGAAAATGATTCTTTAAACAATAAGAGGGTTTCTGTTTTTCTAAACCCTAGGTTCAAGTTTGTATCATCAAGGTTGTGTTTACGAAGTTTCAGCTCTTCTCGGCGCTCTTATGATCGGACGCCAGGTGAAGAACATTTCATTTTTTTCTTGAATTTTTTTTGGATATTCGGGAGATCATTTTTTGCATATTTAACATATTAAACATATTTAACATATTAAACATTTTTAATATATTTAACATATGTAACATATTCAATATTTAACATATTTAACATATTAACATATATAAGATTTTAACATATTTAACATATTCAACATATTTAGCATATTTAACATTTATAACATATTTAACATATATAAGATATTTAACGCATTAAACATATTACACAAATTGATATATTTCAGGTTGTGAGTCATATAAAAGAGTTAGGACTACCATATTTAACCAACTATATGAGAAGATATGATTGGAGGAAACGAATAGTATCAGATCCTAAATATTCTACCGATCCTGTCCCGCTCAAACAGGTTTTCATTTCATACATAAATTTTTGATATATTAAACTTTGACAATTAAAACTAGTAGATTTCATAGTTTGAAATATCAAGAGCTATGACATTCGGTTGCAAAATTATAGGGTTTAGAGTTTCAGGTGAGTAATCAGGAGCTGAGAAAGGAATTGATTCTTTACCACAAACTCTGATTTTCCAATCCCTATATCTGCGCAACCCAATGTCGCAGAACTTAATTTTATCAAACTATGAATTCTGTCAGATCAAATAATCTAAGTCTGAAATATCAAAGGTTTACATCTTCCGGTTGTAAAAATACATGGAATAGAAAATTAGAGTTTGCGGCAAAGACTCGATTTCTTTAATTTGTTAAAGTGGGAGAAGGATTACCAGCTGTATGAGTCGGATCGGTTCCAGCTCCTTGATGAGTACATGGAGATGATAATCCAGTACGGGTTCGTTACTCTCTTCGTTGCAGCTTTCCCTCTAGCTCCTCTCCTAGCCCTCGTCAATAATATTATCGGTAAAATATCAAAATATATTGATCTGAAAATATCAAAATAAAATTAATTCTTTTTGTTCACATAGAAATAAGACTGGATGCATACAAGTTCACAACTCAGCTGAAAAGGCCAATATCTCAAAGAGTAAGGTAAAAGCATAAATAAACCTTTTCCAGCATTTTAGGTTGATTATCAAACCCATTTTTAAAAGGGCAAACCTCTAAATGGTAAATCTTAAATTTTCCAAAATATTTTTTCTTCTGTTCCATTCTCAGTGCTCAGTCTTTCAGCATATCCTAGCACATGTCTAGATCGTGTCTTACCCTGATACAACCACTTTTAACACCGTCAAAAAAAGACCTTTTTTCTAATATTATTGTTTCGAAAAATCTGTTGGCTTTAAAAAAGATACCACCCATACACAGTTTTTCTAAAACACCAAATGCGGGTTTACATATTGAATGATAGTACTTTCTCCAGCAAAATTTACTAAAAAGAGATCAATTTCTTGAGAAGATATCAAATAAATGCCAATATATTAAATTAATGGCAACATTTTTACCCACCAAGATATGAATTACCTGACAAGATATTAATTATCTTTTAAGATAATAATTAACGTGCAAGAGATGCATTTGTTATCAAGAAATATATTGTACAACATTACTGGCAAGATATGAATTATGTATTGAATATTTTAGAGGTATCGGAGCCTGGTTTGAAATCCTGCAACTCATCACGTTCTTTGCAGTTGTATCCAACGCATTCATCATTGCATTTACTAGTTCATTTATACCCAAGGTAAATACCATAGATTATACAGATAGAACAAGATGAAGGTCTTTAAATGGAGGCATTGAGGGTTAAAAAGTATAAATGGATTATATCTGGATGATATAACGGTTGAGATTTCATCAAATTATTATTTTGGTTTAATGTATTAAACATAAGCTGCGGAGAAGCATATAAATGTCATATAAATCAATGTTTGTGAGAATTATTCAGGTTGGTTTGTTAACTTTATTGACATCATCAGGACGTTCAGTACAAATTCGAAAAACAGAGAAGGACCAGGAGTTCCAGCATGATTGCTACTAGCCCTCCTGGTGAAGAATAGTGCATAATGATTAATTATAATACTTTTGTATTAAATTACCTTTTTTTAAACTGTATACCTGTACATTTAGACTGTATTCCTGTACATGTTTAGACTGTATACCTGTACATGTTTAAACTGTTTACCTGTACATGTTTAAACTGTTTACCTGTACATGTTTAAACTGTATTCCTGTACATGTTTAGACTGTATACCTGTACATGTTTAAACTGTATACCTGTACATGTTTAAACTGTATACCTGTACATGTTTAGACTGTATGCCTGTACATGTTTAAACTGTATACCTGTACATGTTTAGACTGTTTACCTGTACATGTACTCTGAAGGTCAAGGTATGGAAAACTTCCTAACATGGCAACTCTCCTTGTTCAATACTTCAGACTGGAACGAGGGTAAAACTGCATTCAATCAAATCATGATTTTACATAAAACTTAACACAGATAGAGCAAAAGGCGAGCAGACGTTTTTCATTTCTAACTTTGTGTACTAACAAAAGTTTGAGGGATCTCTTTCGTCCTATCTGAGTGATATCTCTCGTCCTGGCTGTGTGATCGCTTTCGTCTTATCTGAGTGATCTCTCTCAAACTATCTGAGTGATATCTCTCCTCCGATCTGTGTGATCTCTCTCGTCCTGGCTGTATAATCTGTCTCTTCCTATCTGAGTGATGTTTCTCATTCTATTCGTGTAATCTCTTTCGTCCTATCTGTGTTTTATCTCTCTTCATATCTGCATTATGTCTCTTGTCCTATCTGGTGGATATCTCTCGTTCTATCTTTGTGATCTCTCTCGTCATACCGGTATGATCTCTCTCATCCTATCTGTGTGGTATCTTTCGTCCTATTTGTGTGATATCTCTCGTCCTTTCTGTGTGATATCTCGAGTCTTATCTGTGTGATCTCTCTCATCCTATCTGTATGATCTCTCTCGTCCTATCAGTATTATCTCTCTTGTCCAACCTGTGTGATCTCTCTCATCCTATTTGTATTATCTCTCTAGTCCTATCTGTGTGATACCTCTCGTCCAATCTGTGGGATTTCTCTCGTCCTCTCTGTTTGATCTCTCTCGTCCTATTTGTATGATCATTTTCGTCCTATCTGTGTGATTTATTTCGTTCTATCTGTGTGATCTTTCTCGTCCTATTTCTGTAATATCTCTCGTCCTACATGTGTGATCTATCTCGTTCTATCTGTGTTATCCCTCTCGTCCTATCTGAGTGATCGCTCTCATTCTATCTGTGTGATCTCTCTCGTTCTATCTGTGTGGTATCTCTTGTGTTTTTCTCTCGTTATACCTGAATTATCTCTCTCGTCCAATCTGTGTGATCTCTCTCTTCCTACCAATGGGATCTCTCTCATCCTAGCTCTGATTTCTCTCGTCCTACCTGTTTGATCTCTTTTGTCCTTTCTCTTTCGTTCTATCTGTGTGATATCTCTCTTTCTATCTATCTCTCTCATCCTATCTAACTGATCCCTCTCGTTCTATCTGTGTGATCTCTCTCGTCCTATCTGCGTGATAGCTTTCGTTCTATCTGTGTGATCTGTGTGTTTTGCAAACTTTCCCTTCATCCCGGCTCCATGGTCTAAGGATTATATTACTAAGGAGATATGGGTGAATATTTTGGTCCTGAGTTATCTGAACCTGATCCTGGGTCTTGTTATTATCCAGCTCTAAGACAAGGTCCAGATCAACCAGCCAAGTACAGCAAGAGTAAAGCTTATCTCCAGGTAAAGGTTCTAATTGGAAGAAAAAGGGGTAGTTTTCCACGTACAGTTTTTAACAGTTTTTTTTTTATAAACTTCATGTTTTATAAGTTTTTGTTTAGGTGTTCATTGCTCGACTTGTATTTGTGCTTGTATTCGAGCACTCAGTGTTCTTTATAACACAACTACTGGCTTATCTAATTCCTGCTACTCCGGCTAGCCTGGCCAGACAGATGAAGAGAGAAGCAGCAGGAGTAATGAAAACCATTCTAGCAGATCAAGAGAACAACTTAGAACCAGAGAATCAAGATACATCCGCCGATGATATTTTTTCCGGAGACCTATAATACTTAAACTTAATCTTGATGATACTTAAACTCTTCTTTAATTATTTGATGCAAAAATTGGAAAATAACAACAATTTAAAGTCGTCCATTACTTAGTAATTATAAAAGAGCATATATATTTGATTCCCTAGTTTTTGTGTTTGTTTTTATTGGGTTTCTAGGGGCTTTGCACCCCACTTCATGCTTTTTCAATATTACTTGCGCATATTTTCTTCGCACAGCCATATCTATGTAAAAAATTGAGGTGGTTTTCTGTCTGTAACCTATGAACGTCAAAATGGCTGAACTGATCGGGACCAATTTTTGTGGCAAGTCACATGACCCCAGGAAGGTTTACAGACAATCAGAAATAAAATTGTTGATTCAAAATACTTCGTTTTTTTATTTTTCAGAAATCCAAATTAGAAAATATGCAGAATCTATTTTTTCATATATTACTAGCCTGGGAACCCAACGTTAACCAGGTTACTCATAGTTACTCCCACCGTTTACCCGCACTTGGTCGTAAACTACGAATTTGCCGTAGAAATCCACCAGTAAAAGCAGAAAAATCCGCAGTAAACATGTATTGACGCATGTATTGGGATTGAAGGCTTCCCAGCTGACAACAATCAAACTCCTACGTGGCATTTTTGCAAAGTTCCCTTACTCTTGGAATCTTACAGACGAATAAAATGTGTACTCATGCTTTATTTCAATTGTTTTCTGGGGTCAACAAAATTTAATCTTCGATCCCAATAAGATTGGGTTGGCGAGGGAATCTATTTATTTTTGCACATTTATATAATAAAACTATATTGTCGTGAGATATCACTTTTTAATTGAGTTAGGGTACGGCGGGTTGAAAACATCCTCGGAGAAGAAATGTTTCTGGAAAAGAGAAAAAATAAGAATCTCATATGAAACTCATCTTTGTCAGGATCCTTACTATTTTTGTCAATCATATCCAGAGGATCTGAAAGGAATAGGATTGAATATCAGTCGTTATCAAAACAAAGTGAACAAAAGGAACTAATTCAATTATTTGAAGTCATAATTTTTGATTTTTAGAAATATGGAACATTGCGAATTTCAAGAATAGAAGTGGACTTACAGGGTGTTCGCGAAAAATGAAAGGGGGGTATAGGCTTAATGCGATAAAAAAGCGCTTTTGATCGCCACTAATCTTACTTCTATCTGTTGCGTCTATAAGGAGAAAATTGTTAAAGACGTCTCATACCGAATAACATGGCGTCCATACAAATTGAGAAAATTACAACATACGACTTAGACCGTAAAAAAATCAATTTAATTTCAAACAAATCATTCAGATATTACAACCTATAGTCATCGATTATCTTTCGCCACATTTATGTATAGTTGATTTTTCATAATATGTTTTAATTGTTATGATCTGAGAGTTACTTATAAAAACATTTATTCCTGTTTCAAGGATTTTTGGTAATGAAAACGACATTTTCATATTTTCCAGGAATGTTCGAAAACAAGTTGTAAGCTAAATATTATTTTAAAAAACAAAATCAAAACTAGTATGAAATATTAAATATATACAGATGTGGCGAAAGATAATCGATGACTATAGGTTGTAATAGCTGAATGATTTGTTTGATATTAATTAGATTTTTTTACGGTCTAAGTCGTATGTTCCAACTTCCTCAATTTGTATGGGCGCTACGCTCTTCGGTATGAGACGTCTTTATCAATTTTCTCCTTATAGACGCAACAGATAGAAGTAAGATTAGTAGCGATCAAAAGCGCTTTTTTTCGCATTAAGCCTATACCCCCTTTTATTTTTCGCGAACACTCCCTTTAAGAATAAAATAGAATCTACAACTCTTAGTACTCCTGGCTCCTGGTACTACCAGCACTCCTGGTACTCCAAGAACTTCTGGTACTAACAGTACTCCTGGTACTCCTAGTATTCCTGATACTACCAGTACTTCTGGTACTTCTAGTTCTCCCGATTCTACCAGTTCTCCTGGTACTACTTGCACTCCTGGAACTGCCAGTATTGGGAGTACCTTATACTTGCAGTGTGGGTTAGAGAATAGTTGCACTTCGTGCACTTTCTGCCCATTTCTCAATAAAGGTCAATTTTTTAAAAATCATTTCGAAAGAACAATCCATTGTTTAAGTTTATAAACTACTATTCTGGAGGAAAAATGAAACATAAATTTAAAGGTTGAACTAGGTTTAACCCGTCTACAGTTGAGTTTACAAGTTTACCAAATTACAGTGAAGGATGACAGGTTTAATGGAACTAATAGATCAGTACAGGAGTTAAACAGCAACTTCGTCTAGAGGTAGAAATATTTGAAACCACGAAACCGAGTATTATATCAGATCTTAGCTACGCGTATAGTGCGTAAGTAAAAGACTCAGAAACCCGGTTTCGTTGCAACCGAATGTTTCAGACAAAATACAGCAATGATAAAGGAAAACGTACTTTCAGGTCGGTTAGCAACACAATTATTTTAAGTGCAACAATTTGAAAAGGTTGAGAATGCAGAAGAGGAGTAAGGGGGTGGAAACTAGATATGAGAGTAGAAAACGATAAAATAGATAAAAGAGGGGAAAAGGTAAAGAAAGGTAAGGAGAGGAAAAGAGATATAAGGAGAGGTAACAAGGGGTAACAAGAGGAAACGAGGGACAAGGAGAGGTAAGGAGTGGACAGGTTGAGTTGTAGGGAGAGAAAAGGAGAGAGGTAAGGAGGGTAATAAGGGGTAAGGAGGGGTAAGGAGAGGTAATGAGAGACAAGGAGAGGTAAGGAGTGGACAGGTTGAGTTGAAGGGAGAGAAAAGGAGAGAGGTAAGGAGGGTAATAAGGGGTAAGGAGGGGTAAGGAGAGTTAATGAGAGACGTGGAGAGGTAAGGAGTGGACAGGTTGAGTTGTAGGGAGAGAAAAGGAGAGAGGTAAAGAGAGGTTAGGATAGAGATAAGTATTGAGGTAAGAATATTCTGGAAGAGTCAAAATCATCTTACTCTTGACATGATTAACAAAATTTTCAAATCTAGGCCAAGCCAGATATTTAGTCATCATTTTATTGAGCATGACTGTTTTCAATTATTTCAATGACATCATTTATGTTTCCATACCAGCTTTTTTTACACTTAGAACAATCATGCATAGTTCATAAATTGAAAACAATGCACGACATGGCATTTAACCGAGCAGTTAGTAAGGACGAAATAACACATTCTATCATTCTCACTTCAGGGAACAAGAAGTAGGATAAAACGTTGAAAACCTAAGCTCAGAAGATATTAGGTCATTTTTCAGTCAGTCAAGTTTCTCTCTTAGATTGGTTCTATGTATTCAACAGGCTTGTTGGGTCTCCTGGTTCTTTTATGATCATGGTTTTCCAGGATTTACAGATTCTGCTGGTTATTTATTGATTCATTGTGATGCAGGCTTTTCAATATCTGCTGGTTATTTACATGTTCATAGTTCTCCAGGTTCTCTAGGATCTGCTGGTTCTGTACATGTTTATAGTTATCAAGGTTCTTTAGGATCTGCTGGTTCTTTACATGTTCATAGTTCTCCAGGTTCTCTAGGATCTACTGGTTCTTTACATGTTCATGGTTATAAGGTTCTTTAGTATCTGCTGGTTCTTTTCATGTTCATAGTTCTCCAGGTTCTCTAGGATCTGCTGGTTCTTTACATGTTCATAGTTCTCCGGGTTCTGCAAGAACTGAAAGAAAGCAATGTGGCATGTTTTTCAGTTTTCAATCTCACGGTTGATTTAAACTCTGTTCTACTAAACAACATAAACAATACTTTTGATATCTGACATAATAATTCTTTTCCTTACGGGCTCCTTAAGGGAGAGACCGGCAATCAAACTGAGATTGCAGTATTACAAACGGATTTACACCTTTACTTAAAATTTATACACCCCGTAAAACGTCTAATTGATATCAAATGAATCCTTTAATATATTTAATATATTCTCCTCATGACTTAAAATCTCAGATGTGACCATTTCATTGAATATTTCATAATGAAAGTGAAAAAAGGAAAGGTTTATTCATATACAAGAAACAGATCGCTGAAATGTCTTTTAAAAAAAACCTCCGAAATATCATTTAAAACAAACCTCCGAAATATCATTTAAAACAAACCTCCGAAATATCATTTAAAACAAACCTCAGAAATATCATTTAAAACAAACCTTCGAAATATCTTTTAAAACAAACCTCCGAAATATCTTTTAAAACAAACCTCCAAAATATGATTTAAAACAAACCTCCAAAATATCATTTAAAACAAACCTCCGAAATATGATTTAAAACAAACCTCCGAAATATGATTTAAAACAAACCTCCGAAATATGATTTAAAACAAACCTCCGAAATATCATTTGAAAAAAACCTCCGAAATATCATTTGAAAAAAACCTCCAAAATATCATTAAAAACAAACCTCCGAAATATCATTTAAAACGAACCTCCGAAATATCACTTAAAACAAGCCTCCAAAATATGATTTAAACAAATCTCCGAAATATGATTTAAAACAAACCTCCGAAATATCATTTAAAACAAACCTCCGAAATATCATTTAAAAAAAATTCCGAAATATCTAGGGGAACAAAACTACGAAACATCTTTTGAAGCAAAATGCTTAAAGCATTTCATATAAATTTTCTTTTTGTCGAATTCCTCCATTGTCAAAACTTTTGTAAATCTCTGGATCAAGTATTGATCTTCATCTTCTACAGACCTACAAATTAATTATAATTCCTCTTCAATATCCCGTGAAGGTTAAACCCGGCAGGGATAACTTTAATGGAGGGATCAAGCATTGATCCTTAAAGGGACTGTAAAGGAAAAATGAAAGGGGGTATAGGCTGAAAGCTAATCACTTTAGCTCTTGATCTCGACCCATGAAAGTTATATCTGATGTTCCAATCTCGAGAAAATGATATAAAACTGTGTTAAATTTATACGAAAATTAATGTATTTACAATTTTGTATAAAAGTAGAGGGTTTAAATAGATCAAATTCAGCAAATATGCAACCAATCTGAAAACTATGATATCCCAGAGAAAGCTAATTGTAACTTAGGTTTACTCCAATTCTAATTTTATATTTGTTATATCTATTTTTAATAGATTTAATTCATAATATTATTTATACTTCCGTATTACTTGACCAGAAGTTCCACCAATGGCAGTGCAGTAAAGTGGTCACGTGATACAGGCGGAGACACATGATCAGAAACTGCTCTGCCATTGGTGATAGTTCTGGTCACGTGATTTAAGTTTAAGATTTTCTACATTTTACATATATGAACTTTCGTATAATTTTAACACAGTTTTAAATCAATTTCTCG